AGTCGGCCTCCGTCGCATCTTTGCTCCTGCAGCCTCTCTTCATTTGCACATCTTTGGTGTGGTCCCGTGTCCCCCACCCCACCTCAGCGTGTCCTGGCGTGACCCTTACATCCATAACTTGATTGTGATTATTACATATGTCAAATGTCACACGAGGGCTATTATATCGAAACATTTGCAATGCTTGGATGTTCTTTCTAGATTTGAAGCTTTCGTGACTGCAAGGATTCATACTCTTAGGCTTTTTCGGTAAAGTCACGTGGGTAAAAAATAAAAATTTTTTATAGAAGTAATAATAGAAATGAAATAATAAATCACGACGTTTCGGAGGCAACACAAGTCTCCGTCATCAGGTGGGACCGTCACAGCTAATGCAGTAATTTTTTCAACGAAAGCATCTCTCTGAATGTGGAATGTTCGGGTTGTGAAAAAGTTAAATCCCTCTAGAGATGAAGAGGAGATTGCTGTGTTTACGAGTGTGTTATGAAATCTCAGGTGGAAGACAAAACGCAGACAAGAATGTTCATTCAAGTTCATTTAATAACAAAAAATGAACATGGTCAATGTTCATCAAAATGAAAGTACGTAATTAAATACCTTAACTTCTCGTGAGCGGCCATCCATTGAGTAGGTGCGCAAAAATCTGTCAAAACTTGACCCCTCCCCCCCTCCCTGTACGCATGCGGATTTTTTACCCCCCCCCCCCCACCTGCGTACGTTCACCTGACGCACCCCCCCCCCCACGAATCCTATAGAACGGCCGATATTTAATCCACGCAGAAACGATCAAGGATTAATCATATTAACGTGTTTAAGCAAACAGACAGTCCACCGCCGGACTATCTAACTCATTTGATCGAGGCTTCACCCCCCCCCCCCGTTTCCTATGCGCACATTGTCAGTAGACCCCCCCCCATAAGCAAGCGGTACGCATTTGGGTTAACCCCCCCCTCCCCCCTCCATGCGTACGTACTAAATGGATGGCCCCTGACCTAATTTCAGATCATCAACTTAAATAACGCATTTAATGGCCACATGGTACGCAAACTTTCTTCACGTAAACATGAGTACGGCCTAAGCTGGACCACTTTCTCTGTGGTGGAGTACCCAGTTCCTACCTCACGGCGCTTCATATAATTCATAGTCAAGCAGCCGTCTGGGTGACTTATGATGGAGATTTTCTAACTGACTCTTAAGTCACTTGCTCGTCGGTAGTCAGTCGCCTCCCTACCACTCTTCTATGGCTATTACAATGGTTATTTTTCCCGTGAACTTCGCTCATTAATTCCTCCACCTAGTTTGAATATTTCTTGTCATCCACATTGCGTTAAACCATCACCCTGTAGGTCACAAGACTCCTCTTTCTGTTGCTTCCCCTGCAATGCTCGACTTCCCGTTGCCTCTTTTCCCGAGCTCGTATCACCCTGCTGAATTAAATAAATGTGTTAACTGTGCAACTGTTATACATTTCTCGTGGCGTTTGTTCCTGATCATTGATATGTTGTGCCTGTGTGCTTGTGTTTAGCAATTGTATAAGAATAAAACATAAATATTTTTGAAAGTCTCTGTTTTTCATGCATATACGCTCATAGTCCCCGGGGGCCTCTGCCACTTCACAACTTTCAGTTGCAAGTTCGTATCTTTGGCTAAGTGTCACTGCGCCAATTAAAAGGTTGTGAATTTAAATCCCAACCGGGGTTGGCTTAGTACCTTTCATCGAAAAAAAACAGTTCCACTTTGTGTGAAGTCTCAGTGATTTTTTTGTGTGGATAGTCTAGGCTCTGTCATAGAAATCGTGAATTTCCACCACTGGCTCAGAGCTGCTGGCAGGGATGAGCGCCGCCCCTTACCGGGGAGACACTGAAGCGTGCAGGCACTTTCATTAAATAATTCGTGTATACAGTTTGCTTTCAAGGAACAATGGTAAACGTGAATGCAAAGTTTCGATTTAAAGCTTTCGTGACTGCAGGGATTCATCTTCTTGGTTCTTTCGGTAAAGTCACGTAGAATGGAAATAAAAAAATAAAAAAACATAGTAAAACAATTCTCACGACGTTTCGGCCACAACGCAAGCAGCCGTCCTCAGGTGAAGACCAGGTCTGTCGGGGAGACAGACCTGGTCATTCAGAGGCTGTCTCCCCGACATACCTGGTCTTCACCTGAGGACGGCTGCTTGCGTTGTGGCCGAAACGTCGTGAGAATTATTTTATGATGTTTATTTTATATTATTATTTCCCTTCTACGTTACTTTACCGAAATAACCAAGAAGATGAATCCCTGCAGTCACGAAATCTTTAAATCGAAATTTAAGTTTTGGCTTCTTTAAACGAATGCTGTTCGGTTGCCAGAGGCAATTTGGGATGAACACTCTCATCTAAACAATGGAGCTCGCTTCAACGCACAAAAGCAACATGGTTTACAAACTCGTGTGTTGCTGCCACCACCGGAGTTGAGCACTTCGCGTTTGTATGAGCACGCAGATAGATTCACTTTGAACTAGGACGGACTGGGGTTTAACTCCTGCATTGTGTACGGCTTGACCACAAAAAGTCACCAAAAACAAATTCCGTTTTTGTCCATAAGATTGTCCTGGGACTTCGGTCCTCGAATACGAGATTGCATTTCATGCCACTGTGCTTGTGCCTGTCGCTTCATTTCCACTGGTTAATATTGACAAGCAAAAGCTTGGACCATTATGAAAACATCATCACAATATTTAACAGGTCAGTTAAAATCCATTTTGTGATCGTGACGTTACACGCGTCTGAGCGAAAAAAAACCGACATAGTTCTGTACACATTCCTTTACGAAACACAAACTTTGCTGTAAATAATTTTTTTCTTCATACAAAATACCAAAGAATTACCCACAATAACTGTTCTAAATAAGCTGCACACAGGAGCAATGAAACCATCAATATGAAACATTGGAAGTCATACACAAACTCAATTTATAAAACAGCCTTGACTGAATAAATAGAAAATGCACCGAGCAATAGCATGCACATTAAATCGTTGGACACCATCACTTTTGCGGGGGTTCATGAAGTTGTACAGTACAACACTGAGCACCTACGTTGATATACAGAGCGGTGTGCTAACCATTACATTTGGTGTGCAGGTGAACGAGACACAACCCTGGGTAATCTCTCTTCCTTCACAAACACTTTTGAATCTATTTGCCGAGGGTGGCATTTACCCTGGTCGTACGGCACAAAGCACCTGTATAATAACGACCCGTGCATTGGTTATGATTTCAAGAAAAACAGCGGCACAGCGCGGTAATTGTAATTGTCAGCCTTGGAAATCAACCAGTGGGCAACCCGGTGTAGACATTAGCGGGCTTCATGCTTGCCAGCTCGCTGCTCGTTTATAAATGCCGGAGTCTCAAGACTCGTTGTCACGAAGACCTTGTTTGATAAGTTGTTATCGTTTTCATGGAGAATGCCACAGTATTACCTCGTTATTCACGAACTTGCTATCCGCGATTTTGGCTATCTGCGAACCGCATCTGGAACTATACGCGACTGCATCGAGAGAGAAAGAAAGTGATGACATAAAGTGATGAGATTATTTGCATGTATTTAATAGCTTATTTACGTATTTAAGGTAATTCATTAAAAAGATAGTTTTCTGTGGGTCAATATTATTACCCGCGAAATGTGCTCTCCACGAGCATCTCCGGAACGAATTCCTCGCGAGAACGAGGGACTTCTGTATTGGCAGAATAAAAATACAGAAATGAATGCTTCTACGCTGCAGAGTAAAAATACAACCGACTTGATGTGCTAATTTCTACAGACATAAACTTTCAATCTCTCTCTTGTGACCTGTGCCAATTCCTTGATATCTGGTTAGCAGAAAGTAGGTGCCATGGCCACTAGACCTGCAGTAATGTAATGGTCATTTAGTCTTTTTGCAAGATTTTCAAATTCAATCCTCTAAACATTCTGATCGCTTGACATTGATTGAGCACATCGTCACAGGCAGGCGTGTTCAGTTATGCCAGGCCCTGTCAGGGATGATTTGAAGTACATTATTTTGAATGCATATCATTAATCATTCATTTCCTTTTTTTAGAGTTACGACTTTGTCAGTTTGAAAAAACTCATTTTTAAAGTCAGTTTATTCCATTTTTCAGTATTAAAGTTCAATGTTTTTTTTTATCCGTGGCGATTCAGTTATTGTAATTGCCAATAAGACACTTTAGCGTTGTGATTTGATAACCAATCCCTGAATTTAACAACAAAACAGAGTGCAGTGTTTTAACTCCTTTAACTATGTTGGAAGTTGCCACCGCTCCCCTACCTTGCTCAACGGTGAGCGTCAAAAACCACGCGGCGCCGAGTAAAAGCAGGCCACCGTCTACCGACGTTACCCTCACGGGCTTGAAATGAGGTACAACACTTCACTGCGCTTTCCCATTCAAATGGGCATGAGATGGCGCTTACTACCCTGTTCACAGTCCCTGAGGCAGTGGTGGAAATTCCACATTCCCATGGCTGGAGCAAGTTTTTTCAAAAGGACAACCACTGTTGACTTTCCACAAAGTGGCACTTTCTGTCACAACCGCACGCGTCTGACGGGATGAAATTACAAGGCTCCAGATTTCCGCTTGCAAAGTAAATAAAAAATTACCTCAGCAAATTCTCACCTGGTTAAATTAAAGACATCAATTTAATTGTAATTATGCAGTTCATTAATAAATTATTAATAACATCATAACAATAAATTTCGATTTAAAGCTTTCGTGACTGCAGGGATTCATCTTCTTGGTTCTTTGGTAAAGTCACGTAGAAGGGAAGTAATAAAATAATAAAAATAAAACACAATAAAATAATTCTCACGACGTTTCGGCCACAACGCAAGCAGCCGTCCTCAGGTGAAAACCAGGTCCGTCAAACATTCAGACTCTGTCGCCTCGACGGACCTGGTTTTCACCTGAGGACGGCTGCTTGCGTTGTGGCCGAAACGTCGTGAGAATTATTTTATTGTGTTAATTTTTATTATTTTATTACTTCCCTTCTACGTGACTTTACCGAAAGAACCAAGAAGATCATAACATTAAATGGAGACTGAAAACAGAGTAATATCTATGTAATGGGAATGAGTAGCTTTGTGATTACATTCCTCAACTAATTGGCCGTTTAGCAATGTGGAGCGGCTGGCTTTGACTGCAGCCGTCAAGTCTGAGCGCTCATAAGCGTGACAGTGGCCTGCTCGTGCGGCAGGTACATGTAGAGCCATCTCCGCATGCGGGACGAGTCCTCCGCTGGCTCCATGAGCATGGGTCCATCGGTCTCCGTGCAGTTCTGTTGTCTTTCCTCTATCGTCTGGGTGATGTTTTTTGAAAGCAGGTATGAGGTGGCGATGCCAAAACCCTACGGAAGAAAGAAAGAGCACGCTCTGTTATTGCACGGTTGCAGCGTCTTGCACGCTGTGTTGTTGGTGGCCTGAGTACGATTTTAGGCCACGGTGAACATCATGAGTGAGTCATATCTGAACCCGTTCCTGCACCCCCCCCCCCCATCTCTTCCCTTTCACCAACCTGCACTGACCAGTTCACGTCACTCTTGCAAATTAGACTATCCTGTTCATCTTCTTGGTTCTTTCGGTAAAGTCACGTAGAAGGGAAATAATTAAATAATAAAAATACTACATAATAAAATAATTTCCACAAATTATTTATTTTTATTATGTAATTATTTCCCTTCTACGTGACTTTACCGAAACAACCAAGAAGATGAATCCCTGCAGTCACGAAAGCTTTCAATCGAAAAGAGACTATCCTGGTCTCCTGAATTATCAGCGAGTTAAACAAAATAAAACTTGAAACCTCCGATGACCAACACCGCTTGACAAGGCATTTATTCAGCAGTGGATTGACAAAGGGGCTGTACATTAGTGTTATTGTAATAGCATTCAACACAGCAAGCGATGTGCATAACCACGTGCAAAATGACCATTAACCATTTCTACGATAGACACCAGAGGGCAGCAGACACCAAAGAAATTCACCACAGCATGGGCGATGGTTGCTCATTCATGAAAATAACATTTCTGTTCACGGAACAACTCTGCAACAAGGACACACCTTTAATGGAACGCAGAATCTTTGAATTTCAAGGTGACCGGATGATAGTTCAACAGTGACTCATCGCGTGAAAATGTATATCAGAATCCAAAGACAGTACTCTCAATGCATGTTGATTCTAAATGTGGAGGGAAAACCCGCAACCCCGGGGAGACAGACATGCAAACTCCAAATATACAACAGGCGTCAGGGTCGTGATCAAACCCACGACCTCCTGTGACCAGGCGAGGTAGTTAACATCTCGCTAACCCGTAGTGATGAAGGCTGCCATAGCGTTGACATCAAGCGTTTAAATCTTGGGTTTATTCCTGATTTGAAGCTTTCGTGACTGCAGGAATCCATGCTCTTTTGTTCTTTCGGTAAAGTCACGTAGGTAGAAAATTATTAATAGATCACGACGAGAGAAAGCTTTCTCTCTCACACCTGAAGACAGTCGCTTGTGTTGCGATCGAAACGTCGTGATCTATTAATAATCTTGGGTTTATTTTTTTTAAACATTCAATTTTATTAGCAATACAGGGAAATGGGACAAATGTGCTGGGACTTGGAGCCAAAAGTAACAGGATCGAGGAGAAGAAACATATTCTTAGGTTTTTTCGGTAAAGTCACCGAAAAAAACCTAAGAATATGAATCCTTGCAGTTGTAGTGGGTTCAATTTAGGCGCACACACTTCTTGGGAGGCAACACTCATTTATTAATTAACACAACGTTTACTCAACAGTTACTCTTACTCTACACAGAGGGTGGTGACCACCGACCTACACTAGCTAACACACAATTGTATTTTAGTCTCTCTCCAGCGTGACCCAGCCAGGTGGCTGCTGGCAGTCCGCTCACTGTAGGTCTACTCTTCTGGCATCTTCACGAGGTGTCTTCATTCTTCGCAGGAACAGCCCTGCTCTGCCTTCACACCACCCTTATATCTCGTCTCTCTCTGGCGTGGCCGGCTCCGCCCAGGCCACGCCTCCCTTCCCAGGCCACGCCTCACTTCCCAGGCCACGCCTCACTTCCCCCACCTCTGGGAAGGTCCGGATCCCTCCAGCACGTGACCCCCCAGGCACCCCCTTGGGGCCCCCAGCCCTCGTACGGGCCAACACAGTAGTGACCGTTCTGTCACTACATCACCCCCTCCTGTATAAACACACAGCCGTCCCCGGCTGTAACACAACTGTGAACATCGAAAAGGCGTGCCTCCGAACCAGCAACATCAATAAATGACCGGCGACCGATAAGAAATACCATCACGTAATATATACAGAATCGACGAGGGTAAAAGGGAACCGCATAGAAAACGGGGAATTAACAACAAATATACATGAAAACCGGCTAACCCACTTACGCTCCATCACAGCCCCCCCACCGTTAGAATCACGCATGCAATGACAGTCACCCGTTAGCACCCCCCCGCCTTTCCGACGTGGCGTGACAACCAGTAGCACGCGTCGGCCATATCGGGGGGGGAATTTCCATGTTACCACCCCACCGCCTTTCCGACGTGGCGTCACAACCAGTAGCACGCGTCGGCCATATCGGGGGGGGAATTTCCATGTTACCACCCCACCGCCTTTCCGACGTGGCGTCACAACCAGTAGCACGCGTCGGCCATATCGGGGGGGGAATTTCCATGTTACCACCCCACCGCCTTTCCGACGTGGCGTCACAACCAGTAGCACGCGTCGGCCATATCGGGGGGGGAATTTCCATGTTACCACCCCACCGCCTTTCCGACGCGGCGTCACAACCAGTAGCACACGTCGGCCATATCGGTGGGATTTTAACCCAGTCTCTCTCCAAGACTCGCATCGCAGCATATAGCTGTACCGACCGAGCTGAAACGACCCATCGTTCACTCACTGCACAACATGCACCCTAACAACTGAGGGAAACAGTCTCAACGTAACAGGCCAACTCCACCCGAACCTTACGAATCTCCAGCCCACTGTTTCAACGCGCCTCAGAGGGTCTCAACCTCCGAGCCGTCAGGTCAAGCCGTCAGCCATAGCATGACGGGACCACCCTCCCTGAGCCATGTGAGCGCACAGCCCACAAGTCTAGACACGCCACAGAGTGTCTCGATCTCTGGGCTGTCAGGTCAAGCCGTCAGCCATTGCATGACGGGACCACACTCTCCGAGCCCTGTGAGCGCACAGCCCACTAGGCTAGACATACCACGGAGTGTTTCAATCTCCGGGCTGTCAGGTCAAGCCGTCAGCCATTGCATGACGGGACCACACTCTCCGAGCCCTGTGAGCGCACAGCCCACTAGGCTAGACATACCACGGAGTGTTTCAATCTCCGGGCTGTCAGGTCAAGCCGTCAGCCATTGCATGACGGGACCACAACGTTCATGTTAGACACGCAACACTCACTGGGCCATCCTGGTCAGGATCTGCGCCCCAAGATAAGTGACAGCCAGCACCACAATTCCAAATCCCTGGCAGCATGTCACCATCGCAATTTAACACCATCACAACACATACAATTTGAATTATGATCCCCCACAGAACTGATCCAATGCCGAACAGGTACGCACAATTTGTGACGATCCCGAATATTCAATGGTCACAACAATACACCTCACATCCCGTATCCGTACACATCATCTCCGAGACTCGCATTGCAGCAATGCAGCTGTACCAACCGAGTGGAGAGAGCAATGCAATTTGACGGCAATTAACGGAAACGCACCCCCGATCCATGTAGAACACAAGGAGCATTCCCGCACAAAAGACATCATCTGTGCAACAACGGACAGGAACCAACCAGTGAGTTTGAAACAAACCGAACCTGTCACTTCAAAATCCCCTTCAACATTAACCATTGGACTCAGGGCATTCGAATTTTGAGAGAAAAAAACTGTACACAAACCCCAAGAATCGCCGAATTGATTAATACAGTATATGCAGTATACGAAGTTCGTACAGTCAATCATTTGGCACAATGCACCATCCAGTCCCCACATGGCAACACACACAATCAATAATCCAGACAATCCGTACATAGTAAATAATCACAAGCAAGTACCCAACATTCCATACACTGTTAACAATGACGATCAAAGTTTCTGACAGTTGCAAGTGACAATCACGAGCGAAACTCCATACAGTATACACAATAACAATGGTGATTTCGCAACACAACGATGTAACAACACAAGTCATTAACACGGCAACATACAGGATATCAACGGAGCTCGGGACACCAACAACGAATTAATCATTAACTACCCCCAGAAGATACCGATCTCGACGCCGTAATTAACAACAAACACTGGTCGCCGCGTCAATTTCTCACGCACACAACCGGACGAACACGTTCCGCATCCCAGCGAGTAAAAAAAACCCGCGATCGCAACCCGGCACACGTAAGATGGGTGAAGTTATTATTATTATTTTTATTGGGGCCGGGTGCTTGTCAAGTCACAACTCGCCTGGCAAACTGTGAATAGCGGAGGGCGGCAAGGTGGAGCACTGGAACGGCCCGAAGAATCTTTGATGGTGAACACGGCCTGCTCTTGCGAACCCATCCACCTCTCGCGCTCGAGCAGAAGGCTGGAACTCCCCCTCTGCAGGCGTTGATGTCGGCGGGAGCGGCATTTCGGCAGCAGGAGCGGTGTTTTGGCGGGAACAGCGCCCCGACCAGCCGCCGAAATAGCGGGAACGGTGTTTTGGCGGGAACAGCGCCCCGACCAGCCGCCGAAATGGCGGGAACGGTGTTTTGGCGGGAACAGCGCCCCGACCAGCCGCCGAAATGGCGGGCCCACCGCGTGGCCCGCATGCCCGGGCCTCCCCCGCCAGCCCCCGCAGCGACGATGGTGTCCTCTCGCCGCGGCTCCATCGCTCCGTTCCCGATGGCGGCGAAGCAGCAGTGCGATGCAAGTCCCACCGCTCCGCGTGCAGCGCCATCTCTCTCTCTCTGTCACCGGGGCTGCCATCCCCGGGGCTGTCCGAAGGACGGTCGTCACACCATCCCCGTCGTACGAAGACGTCCAGATGAGTTTTGTATTTGTTTTTCGTGTGCCCATTTTACTTCCCTAGGATAACACCTAGCAATATTTATTTTTCCACAACTGACACCAAATGTAGTGGGTTCAATTTAGGCGCACACACTTCTTGGGAGGCAACACTCATTTATTAATTAACACAACGTTTACTCAACAGTTACTCTTACTCTACACAGAGGGTGGTGACCACCGACCTACACTAGCTAACACACAATTGTATTTTAGTCTCTCTCCAGCGTGACCCAGCCAGGTGGCTGCTGGCAGTCCGCTCACTGTAGGTCTA